CTTTGACCCTCACTCCTGGAGAAAGTTCCCTAGACTTCAAGATAGACCAGAATCCACAAAAGTGTGAAATAGATTATAGAGAGTAGTGTATCACTTGGTGAGAAATTTAGGGTCTGGGATTTTTAGTATGTTGTGGATGGAAGTGGAGGGCACAGGGTGTCATCCTGGATTTCTTCTTCATGCTGCTTCTTCCTCCTTCTTCATGGGTTTGGGTGGCATTTTGTAATTGGGCAGAAAAGTCCACATTGAGGGCTCTTTGGGATCAGTTATTGGGTTAAAAGGGGAAATAATCCAGGTGTCAGTTCTTAATTGGATAGTTTAGTCTTCAAAGTCCTTGGAACAAGAGATTGTTGGCCGTTTTGTGCCTTCTAATGAAAAGCTGCTGGACTCACAGTAGTGAGCCGGTTTTACTGATCAGAAATAATAAACGCCTGAGTGTGAACATGAACTGCCCTCTCAAGTGCCTTCAATCCCGACCCAGAGAAACCGACGAGGGGTACCCCAGCACCTGGTACCCCCACACTCCCCTGGTAAGGACTGCCCCAGAGCCTACCTGCATGCCAGGTGGAGGGGGGTCTCTGCGGACCAGCATGGTGAGCTCCTGGGCGTTGGAGAGCAGGGCGTTGACGGCCTCCTGGTGGGTGGCGTGGCGCAGGTCGATGCCGTTCACCTCCAGGATCCTGTCCCCGACGCGGAGCCCGCTGCGCGACGCCAGCCCCCGCGGGATGACCTGCGGGGACACCAACACCACCAGAGAAGGGAAGTCCCCTCTGGAGGAGGCTTTACAGCGACTTCTGGGAGCCAGAGAGAAGGCTGGGAACAGGATCCATGGGTATCCCTGAAAGAATTTCCTACCAAGGTCTTTGACACAGAAACCAAGAAGGAAAGAAGGATAAATAAGAGAAACCTGCAACTGTCTATTCCAGTGAGCATTCCTACTCCAATGAGTAAAGTGTAAATTTATGAGCTTTGTAAGAATGTATAAAAAGCATGCACGCTGTAATAAAACCAGTTTGAAGCCTTCTGAGAATGGAGCGTGTTGCTTTGTTTTGAAGGAGCTGGGGTTGTTTAGCCTGCAGAAGAGGAGGCTCAGGGGTGACCTTATTGCTCTCTACAACTTCCTGAAGGGAGGTTGCAGACAGCTGGGGGTTCTCTCTTCCACAGGGCAGCACTGACAGAACCAGAGGACACAGTCTCAGCTACGTCAGGGAAGGCATAGGTTGGATATTAGGAAGAAATTGTCACTGAAAGAATAATAAAGTACTGGAATGCTCTTCCCAGGGAGGTGGTAGAACCAGGATCTCTGGATGTGTTTAAAAAAAGACTGGACATGGCACTTGGTGCTGAAGTCTAGTTGAGGGGTTAGGGCATGGGTTGGACTCCATGATCTTAGAGCTTCCATCCTCATTATTCTGTGGTTCTGTGTGATTCTGTCTCTGTCTCAACTACAACAGTCCATCTTTCCTTGGAGATGTGACTGTGTCCCCAGGCACCCTCCAACACCCTGCAGGCCTGTTCCGACTCCTCTCTCTGCAGACAAAACTCCCCAAGAGGTGACACATGTGGGAACACTGGCAAAGAATGAAGTGGGATGTGCTTTGAAGTGCTATTCCATATGTAATTCTTATATTCCAAATTTAATCTGAACCAATCCTGTGCCAGTGTTGCCATTATTTTGCCTGTGACTGTAACAAGGACTGACAGCACCAGTACTGCTCCAGTCCTCACCCTCTAGAGGGCAGGGGCTCCTGAGAGCTGAACATATAACCAAACCTGTGTTCCTGGTGAAAAAAAGGAGTCAGCAAGGAAATCTGTAAGCACATGGGACACAGGGATGGTGGGAAAGAGTCAGTTAGGCTTTGAGAAGAGCAAATCCTGCCTCACTGACCTGCTGATGCACTGCAAGAAAAACCATGGGCACACGAAGGAAGAGGCCTGGCAGGCATCACTCCTAGAATTCCAAACAGCCCTCAACAAGGTGTGAACCCAGCCACAGGTGTCAGAGGAGTCAGGTTCAGCATCTCCAAGTGACAAGAGAAGTCAGGAAGCAGACGGGGCCCTGCAGGGATGTCCTCTCCAGCATTCCTATTCCCAAGAGCATGTGAGGGAATGGGCTGCAGCCAGTGGCCAGCCTGTGTGCTGCCCCTGAATGGCATCACCACTGGAATGGGAACGTGGGATCAAAGGACACTGGCCTGAGTGCAGCAGAGCAGCTCTGGGTGCCCCAGCAGCCACACACTCTCCCCCTTTCTGCAATGCCAGCATCTTCCCAGGACTCATTAAAGCCAACGTGAACCCAGCAATTTCAAAAGCTGACTGGGATCCCTCCAAAGGCTTCAGCATGGATTATAAAGGTCTGAGGCTTTTCCATGCCCTCAGATGGCTCCAGCAGCAGCCCTTGCAGTACAAACAACCCTTCACACATCTCTGTCCTATGCGCTTATTTCACAAATCCATCCTGTACATCTGGACTCACATCAAAATCCTTCACCTTAATCCCAATAACCAACAGCTCAGGAACACCCAGAGCAGCTCTCCTGGGACTCTACCTTGGAGATGAAGACACCTGGCTCATGAATCCCAAAGGGATGGCTGGAGTGGTCACTGCCTCCGACGATGCTGAGGCCCAGGGGACCACCTGCTTTCACCAGGTGGATTTCCTTAAGGGAACAAGAAGCAGAGTCAAAGGCAATGAAGGATATCATATACAGACCACAAACACTGACAAACATGGAGTCAGGGGTGTTTTGCATGGGTAAGCACAAGGTGAACACTCATGGGACAAGGCGGCTCCCCATGTGGGACTCTGCAACCTGGAGAAGAGCTAGAATGGGGCTCCAAGAGAGCTGGAGAGGGGTTTTGGACAAGGGCCTGGAGTGACACAAGGGGGAACAGGTTTCCCCTGAAAGTGGGCAGGGTTAGATGGGATACTGAGGAGAAATCCTTCCCTGTGAGGGTGGGGAGGCCCTGATACCGGTTGCCCTGAGAAGCTGGGCCTGCCCCATCCCTGTAAGTTTTCAAGACCATCTTGGACAGGGCTTGAAGCAAGCTGGGCTAGTGGAAGGTGTCCCTGCCCATGGCAGGGGGTGGGTCTGGATGGGCTTTTACCCTTCCACCCTAAGCCCAAGCCTTTCTACGACACCTCCCAACACCCGGCAGGCCGGTCCCCATCACAACGCCGATCTTTCGGGACTGCACCCTGTCCCCCAAAGCCCAGCTCACCTCGACAGGGTACTGATCCTCCATCCCTCTGCAGAGGTGGTTCCGGGGCGGCGCAGGCGTCTCCTCGGGCGGGCTGTCCCCGGGGCCGGGGGGCGGCGGGGGGGAGTGCATGCGCCCGCGGGGCGAGCCTCCCTCGCCGGGCTGCTCGGCGCCCTCTCTCTCTACCAGCAGCACGATGGTGGGGGAGGCCGCGGTAAGCAGCGCTACGGCCTGATCATGCCTGGCTTCTGTCATGTCTACCCCATTGATCTAGAACAAAGCCGGCGTCAGAGCGGCCCCGCGGCGCTCGGCCGAGCCCTGGGAGCCCTGTCCTGCGGCACCCGCAAACGCCTGTGCCCCAAAGCACCTCGTGGTCCCCCAGCTCCCTCGGACCTGGCAGAGGGACACAGGCACCTGCGCGCTCCCACTGACCCCAGTTCCCTTCCTACTCAGCTCTCCTGTCCCTTTCCCCCGTTCCCTCACAAGGTGCTCCAGGGGACCACGCAGGCCAGGGGTGATGTTCCACCTCCCACAGCCAAGTGTCTCCACGTGGGAGAAGCAAAACCAGCGGTTTCCAGCAGCACAGGCACGTGCAGAAGCACCTGCTGCCGTGCCACCGAGCCACCTGCCCTCACCAGTCACCCAAAGCCCCGACACTGGCACTGCGGGCACATTTGATGGCTGACGGTGACCATCAGTGTCGCTGGTCACTGCCCCACTGGCTGCCCGTGCTGGGCCAGGTCATGGCAGCCAGCTCTAAGGCATTGCAAGTGACCTCAGGTACAGAGAGCTCTGAAAGAACAGAGAGCCTTTCCTACAAAATTAAGATTTAAAACTGCCTCCCCAGAAACGCAAAGGACTGGAAAGGACATGACTGCTTTCCATGGATGTATAAGGGGCAGAAACCCCAGAGCTAAGCTGAGAGAACACAGCCAGAACAACAAAACTAGACAGGAAAAAGTTGAAGCTGAAAATTAGAAGGTTTCTAGTCATTAGGTGCTGGAAAAGCTTTCCAAAATGAGCAAAGAGGACATGAAAAAAGGAGCTGCCACGATGGGCTTTGATCAGCTCATGAAATAACAACGTGACTGTAACAGTCATAGCAACTGGGCCTTGTAGGCCAACTCCCCACTGCCCCCGATTCCTAGAAATATTATTGTAACTCCCCAGCTCCTTCCCAGAGAGCAGTTTCTGGACTAAGCTGGCATGCAGGGCTTTGTCCTGACCCTCTGTGACCCTGCCAGCTCCCACCTGTCCTGTCCCACCCATGGCTGTGGGCACTGCTCTCCTCAGGACAGAGAGGGAGAAGCACAGCCCTGTGCTGTTCTGGGAAGTACCCAGTGTCACCTCTGCTGAGAGCACTGTCCCCAAAGGACACCTCTGGCATGAACCAGAAGGATGTCAGGGCAGCAGCTGGCACGTGCCTGCAGGAAGAGGAAGGAGGAGAGGGACCTGGGCAATGGCTGCTGAGCACAGGACAGGGCACCAAGCAGGAAAGGTGACAAATTCACCACACAGGTGCACAGCCCCTAAGGGAGTGCAGGCTCAGACACCCCCAGATGGATCCTCAAAGAGTCATCAAAAGCAATCACACAAAAGAATCACCACATTAGAGCAGTGTGACCAAACCTGGCAACCAATCTGCAGAAGAAATGGAGATTACAAAGGGCTGTCTCAGCACATCTCTTGTAGGAAAGGGCCAAGTGGCTGCAGGAAGCTTGAAGGAGGTGTTGTGGGAATATGCAGCACTCATTATGGGACATTTAACAGAACAGAAAGAGGACTGGAGGTGAGGAACAAGCATGGGGAAATACAGGGGAGAACAAGAGGCTGCTGGTCAGTGCTGGTCTGGCCAAGCCCTGGGCCTGAGTGCACATCTGCTCTGCTTTCTCCCCACATTCTCTATTTACTGGGCCAGTTCACTCTGCTCTGGGTACAGAACAGAACTCTGGGTTCACTCTGCTCTGGGTACAGAACAGAACTCTGGGTTCACTCTGCTCTGGGTACAGAACAGAACTCTGGGTTCACTCTGCTCTGGGTACAGAACAGAACGCTGCGTTCACTCTGCTCTGGGTACAGAACAGAACTCTGGGTTCACTCTGCTCTGGGTACAGAACAGAACGCTGCGTTCACTCTGCTCTGGGTACAGAACTCTCTGTGGAGAGCTGCTGGTAAAACTCAAGCTGGACTAGCCAGCAAATATGAATCCAAAACGTGTGAAGACTCAAGAGGCGGCCCAGAGGCTGGATGAAAGGCTTGGGTCTGACCCAAGAGCCGGTAAGAGCTGGCTGCTGGAGCAGAGGCTGGAGAGCTGCTGCAGGAGCACTGTGGGCTGAGGGAGGGAGGACGTGTGCCTTTCCCCAGCAAGCTGAACCCTGCTGAGCCAGAGGAGCTGGCTGTGCTCCTGCCCTGTGAGCACACCTGTGCTCAGGTGTGTACCTGTACGGGTACTGCCCCTGGGACCAGCTGCGTCTGCACCCTCCCCTGCTGACGGCTGCAGCCGGGAGCAGGGAAAGCAGCAGCTGTGTGTGCAGGGGACTGGGAAGGGAGGATTCCTCGGGTCCTCTGATGGTTAACAAAGGCAGCACGCAGGAGAGACTTGGCTCTTTGTTTTTATCACCACACCAAGGCCAAACATGCTCATTGAGAGGGAGCAAGATGAATTTTAAGGTCTCTTCCAAGCCAAGCCTTGCTCTGACTGTATGACACTGCACACACAGAGCTGCTGCAGCACTCCCATTTCTCACATCACCTCTGCTGTCTTCCTGTCCCTGACAGGATGAGAGGGGTCAGACCAGCAGGGCACAGCAGTGCCTCCCTGGAGCAGGGCACAGGACTCCAGGAGTCAGGGCTGTCTCAAATGTAACAGCCCCTGGAGCACTTCAGCCAGTAACTCTCCCCTGCCTGGAATCCTGGGGGCTACCCAGCTTTTGGGGCAGCTAATTTTCCATGGCCTTTATCTAGCTAGAGAGCGAGGCCAGCCATGCAGCATGGCTCTCTGAGTGACATGGGGAAGGGACAGCGTCTGTCCTTCCCCTGCTCCACATGTTTCTCTGTGTGCCAGGGAATTATATTATCCTGGCAAATCTCTAAGGGGTCACACTGCATCATTAGGATTCCACATGTCACCCACCACTATCCTACATCTCCCCACAGTCAGTTTTCTTCTCAGTCTGATCCCAAAAAAATCAGCTGCCCTTAGCAACTGCTCCCAATCCTGCATCCTCCCTGCTGGATTCCCATCCCACAGCTCCAAGTCTCCAGCACCCCCAGCAGGTCCCTGCCCAGTGTCTTCCCCCCACAAAATGACTCCCAAGAGACACAGGAACACAAATGAGGCATGTTGAGGGGTGTTAACTCAGGGGAGACCTAAATGGGCTCTTCAATCCCTGTGCTCAAAGCTCCCCTAAGAAAGTCAAAGGAGCATTCCTAGTTCTTCTCCTGAGGAGGAGTCCAGGAGGATTTAGAGCACAGGGGAAGAGCAGGAAGCTGTGCTGTATTTATTTTCTTAAGAAAACAGAATTCTTTGGTAAAGTGAGAGCTGAGCATGACCATGAGAGCATGGCTTTGGAAATGGGCCCTGTACCCAGACAGGGTCCTCCCCTTCCCCATGCAGATACAGGCAACCTGCACCCACATCCTAAAAACCATGGCATCGTAAAAGGTTTCCAATAAAAATGGGCAATTGCTGCTTCCAAAGAGTGTGGTAAGCAGGCTTGGGAGTCCTGGGAGTAATCCTGGGAGTGTTCTCCTGAAAGGTGGCATGTTCCTGCACTCCTCAGAGGTGAGCATGGGATCTGAGCTTCGGCTCCTGCTCAGCACCAATCCTCTATGAGAGTGACACACAGCTCAGCACAGGGACCTGAGGGGATCCCACTGGGGGTGTCAGGAATGATGACCAAACCTCCATGGTCACACACAGCACAGGGAACAGAGGGGACCCTGCTGGGGTTGTCAGGAATGATGACCAAACCTCCATGGTCACACACACCTCAGCACAGGTAGCCATGGGGACCCTGCTGGGGGTGTCAGGAATAATGACATCAATGCCTCAGCCACATCAAAATCCAGCAGAGGCTCCAACTCTGTAAGCCCTGAAGTCACACATCCCATAAGGAATCCACTGCAAGCTATTACTAGGGAATTAGATCTGCTTTTCCTACGAAGCTGCCCATGGATATAAATAGAGCTGCTGAAGCAGGGTGGAGGCAGGTTTGACTTTTGAATCTGTTCTAAGGTTTTGTGTCTCCTTTTTCCACAGGTTGAGCAAACCATCCCCAAATGATGAGCCTCAGTACTGCCTCCGTACCATGGAGCATCAAAACATGAGCAAATCCAAAACAATCCAGTCTATCTGGCATTAATCAGGGTCAAGGCTGGATTTCGGGCAGTGGGGAGCACTAGAAGGCAGTGAGAGATGCCATACCAATTCAAGCTTCCTGACAAGACACCAGAGTCAGACCTGGGCCCAAGCTCCACTAAAATGTGCCTGAGCAAACACGAGCCAGCCCCAGCCCAGGGATAGAGCAGACAGAAGCCAGCACTGACGAGGCTGTATCAGTGTTTACTCACGCCAGCGCTGGGGTAACACGTGCTCTTACCACAGCGCTGGGCCAGAAACCCACCACCAGCACCAGGAGCTGGAGGTTTGCCAGAGGCAGCATGCGAGCGCGGGAAGAGGGTCAGGAGGCTGAGGAGAGGCTCCCGCAGAGGGGAGTGAGGACCAGGAGGCAGAGACACGAGGTGAGAGCAGTGAGATCCGCAGGGACAGCACGGCAGAGCCCCACGGGAAGCAGGGAAGCACTGGGGTACCCCTGCCCTGCTCCACAGCACCCCTGGGCAGCTCCTTCTGCTCCAGCCCACCCCACTGTGCCCCAAGGGGTTCCCCCTCCCCGTGGCCGAGCCCCCCAGGCTCCAGAGGGACACCAGGCTGGGCAGTGCTGCCGTGTCCCCTCCCTCCACGCCATGCCTTGCATGAAGCATTTGGGGAAGGGGGAGGTGTAACTGCACCCACCACCACACAGGGGAGAACCACCCAAATTAAACGCTCTCCCAGAAGGCTCAGGAGCTGAAAAAAGGAGTCCCAAAATGCAGCTCCAGCAGCAGAGAAGCAGCCCTGCAGGAGGAGGGCAGGCAGCCGGGGCAGCCCCTCCCTTGTGCCCGCACTCACCGAGATGACTCGGTCTCCGACGCGCAGGATCCCGTCCCGGTGGGCTGCCCCACCCTCTGCGATCCGGGAGATGAAGATGCCCTGCAGCACAGGCACGAGGGTCAGAGCAGCAGAGCAGCCCGGCTGTCCCCGCCTGAGCCTGGCCCTCCAAACCCAGGCTGGTCCCAGTCCTCTCCCCTCCACAGACCTTCCCCCTGCCCTGATGCTCCCTGTCTGTTCCCCACTCCACACAACCCCTCTGCTCCCAGAGCCCCTGGCAGCCAAGTCCTGCCGTGGCCCAGAGCCTGGAATCTGTGCCAAGAGGGCAGCAGTGGGATTAGGTGTCACTGGCAGGGACTAGGAGCCCCAGCCACCCCCCTTCTATAAAAAAGAGGGAGAGGGACTTGGACAAGGGCCTGGAGTGACAGCACAAGGGGGAATGGCTTCCCAGTGCCAGAGGGCAGGGATGGATGGGATACTGAGAAGGAATTGCTCCCTCTCAGGGTGGGCAGGCCCTGGCACAGGGTGCCCAGAGCAGCTGTGGCTGCCCCCGGATCCCTGCAAGCATTGAAGGCCATGGCGGGCAGGGCTTGGAGCAACCCAGGACAGTGGAACCTGGCCACCACAAGGTGAGGTTTAAGGTCCTTCCAAACACAAACCATCCTAGAATTCTGAGATTCCCTGACTGTAGAGCACCCAGCCCACCAGCCCAGGGCCGGGCTGCACTGCTGCACGCCCGGGGACGAGGAGGATCGGGGCCCCAGGGCTCAGACTGACCGTGTCCCCAGCCCGGTAAGGCGTGGAGCCCTTGCCGCCAGCGATGCTGAAGCCGAGGCCCTTCTCGTTGCGCATGAGGCAGGTGGAGAAGCGCTCGGTGGCCGGGGCCGGCTCGGGGCCCTCGGGGAAGCGCAGCCCCCCGCGCCGCTCCCGGGGGCTGTAGTCGTCCTCGGGCCGCAGCGGGGTGACGGTGATGGCGTTCTCGGGCTCCACCATGCGCTCCCGCAGCACCGTCATGGACACCGAGCTGCCCGAGCCCCGCAGCGCCTCCACGGCCACGTGGTGCTCGGCACAGTGCAGCGACACGCCGTTCACCTGGGCAGGGACAGCGGCAGCCGGCGCTGACACAGGGCCCCAAAGAACACAGAGCCCGGACCTCACAGAGCCCTGGCCTCACACACAGCCGGCCCTGACACACGGCCCCGAAGAACACAGAGCCCGGACCTCACCCAGCCTGCCCTGACACACGGCCCCAAAGAACACAGAGCCCGGACCTCACAGAGCCCCGGCCTCACACACAGCCTGCCCTGAACCAGAGCCCCAAAAACCACAGAGCCCTGACCTCACACACAGCCCCAACCTCACACCCAGTGTCCCTTCACACCCAGTGTCCTCTCACAGCCCGTCTCACACCCAGCCTCCCCTCACACCCAGCCCAACTCACACAGCCCCAGTTTCACACACAGTCCAACCTCTCACAGCCCCCGTTTCACACCCAGCCCAACCTCTCACAGCCCCAGTCTCACCCCCAGTGTCCCTTCACACCCAGTGTCCTCTCACAGCCCGTCTCACACCCAGCCTCCCCTCACACCCAGCCCAACTCTCACAGCCCCAGTTTCACACCCAGCCTCCCCTCACCCCCAGCCCAACTCACACAGCCCCAGTTTCACACCCAGCCCAACTCTCACAGCCCCAGTTTCACACCCAGCCTCCCCTCACACCCAGCCCAACCCCAGGCACTGCTGCCCAAGGGAACTGGCTCAGCCCCTCACACCCCACCTGGGCCCTGCTCCCACAGGTGTCACACCCAGCCCAACCCCAGGCACTGCTGCCCAAGGGAACTGGCTCAGCCCCTCACACCCCACCTGGGCCCTGCTCCCACAGGTGTGTCCACGCCTCTGGGAGTTTTCCCTGCATTCCCACAGCACTGCTGCCTGTCCCAGGCCAGGGCAGCCAAGGAAAGGCGCCAAGAGGGCAGCAGTGGGATTAGGTGTCACTGGCAGGGACTAGGAGCCCCAGCCACCCCCCTTCTATAAAAAAGAGGGAGAGGGACTTGGACAAGGGCCTGGAGTGACAGCACAAGGGGGAATGGCTTCCCAGTGCCAGAGGGCAGGGATGGATGGGATACTGAGAAGGAATTGCTCCCTCTCAGGGTGGGCAGGCCCTGGCACAGGGTGCCCAGAGCAGCTGTGGCTGCCCCCGGATCCCTGCAAGCATTGAAGGCCATGGCGGGCAGGGCTCGGAGCAACCTGGGACAGTGGAACCTGGCCACCACAAGGTGAGGTTTAAGGTCCTTCCAAACACAAACCATCCTAGAATTCTGAGATTCCCTGACTGTAGAGCACCCAGCCCACCAGCCCAGGGCCGGGCTGCACTGCTGCACGCCCGGGGACGAGGAGGATCGGGGCCCCAGGGCTCAGACTGACCGTGTCCCCAGCCCGGTAAGGCGTGGAGCCCTTGCCGCCAGCGATGCTGAAGCCGAGGCCCTTCTCGTTGCGCATGAGGCAGGTGGAGAAGCGCTCGGTGGCCGGGGCCGGCTCGGGGCCCTCGGGGAAGCGCAGCCCCCCGCGCCGCTCCCGGGGGCTGTAGTCGTCCTCGGGCCGCAGCGGGGTGACGGTGATGGCGTTCTCGGGCTCCACCATGCGCTCCCGCAGCACCGTCATGGACACCGAGCTGCCCGAGCCCCGCAGCGCCTCCACGGCCACGTGGTGCTCGGCACAGTGCAGCGACACGCCGTTCACCTGGGCAGGGACAGCGGCAGCCGGCGCTGACACAGGGCCCCAAAGAACACAGAGCCCGGACCTCACAGAGCCCCGGCCTCACACACAGCCGGCCCTGACACACGGCCCCGAAGAACACAGAGCCCGGACCTCACCCAGCCTGCCCTGACACACGGCCCCAAAGAACACAGAGCCCGGACCTCACAGAGCCCCGGCCTCACACACAGCCTGCCCTGAACCAGAGCCCCAAAAACCACAGAGCCCTGACCTCACACACAGCCCCAACCTCACACCCAGTGTCCCTTCACACCCAGCCCAACCTCTCACAGCCCCAGTCTCACACCCAGCCTCCCCTCACACCCAGCCCAACTCACACAGCCCCAGTTTCACACACAGTCCAACCTCTCACAGCCCCCGTTTCACACCCAGCCCAACCTCTCACAGCCCCAGTCTCACACCCAGTGTCCCTTCACACCCAGTGTCCTCTCACAGCCCGTCTCACACCCAGCCTCCCCTCACACCCAGCCCAACTCACACAGCCCCAGTCTCACACCCAGCCCAACTCACACAGCCCCAGTCTCACACCCAGCCCAACTCACACCCAGCCCCAGTCTCACACCCAGCCCAACCTCACCCAGCCCCAGACTCACACCCAGCCCAACTCACACAGCCCCAGTTTCACACCCAGTGTCCCCTCACACCCATCCCAACCTCTCACAGCCCCAGTCTCACACCCAGCCTCCCCTCACACCCAGCCCAACCCCAGGCACTGCTGCCCAAGGGAACTGGCTCAGCCCCTCACACCCCACCTGGGCCCTGCTCCCACAGGTGTGTCCACGCCTCTGGGAGTTTTCCCTGCATTCCCACAGCACTGCTGCCTGTCCCAGGCCAGGGCAGCCAAGGAAAGGCCCTTTCAGAGGAATTCCTTCCCCACAGGGAGTCCTGAATTCCCTACACTTGTATCACCCTACAGGTAACATCCCAGACAGAACCCCCCACAGAACCACCTCCACCAACAAAATTCAGCACAATTCAACACAACACAGGTTGACCCTTGTCACCTTCCAGAAGGGACATGCACCTGCCCACACCCTTGGAACACCCGGAGCTGTCAGTGTGACAGTTCCCAGGTGTGGGGAATGTCATAGAGCAGATCATCCTTAGTGTGGCACATAAGAGAGAACCAGGGGAACAGGCCCAGGCAGCCTGGGCTAGTGGAAGGTGTCCCTGCCCATGGCAGGGGGTGAAATGAGATGTTAAGGTTCCTTCCCACCCAAACAATCCCCATGGCTGGCTCCCTGGGTAAGAAGTTATTCACAGGGTTCACTTTTGCTCTGCCCAGTGAATGAATAAATGTCACTGTATTCTTGTAATGTATTTCTTCCCACCTGGGCCACACAACAGTTCAGACCTGGGCCAGAGTAAATGCAGGAGCTTATAAAGCAACAAAAGATTCATGGTAACATGAATTAAACAACTATCTCTGAGCCAAAGGGATTTTGTTTAGCTCTTACACATCCCTAATGCTTAATTTGGTCTAAAACACTTATGATGCAAGTCCATTCCCAATCACCTCACACCTCCCCTCCAAGCTCTCAGAAGCATTTGCTTTGTCAGAAGTCAGTCCTTACCTCCAGGAGCTTGTCACCAACACGGACCCCTGCCCGAGCTGCAGGACCCTCCTCAGACACACGGGAAATGAAGATGCCCTGGAAACAAAACCTCTGTTCTATGGAGAGCCCATTTCTGCTGAGAACCCCCTAGCAGGACTACCCCAAGGTGATGAGAGGGACAGGAACCCCCTGACAGGGCTACCCCAAGGTGACCAGGGGGACAGGAACCCCACTGCAGGGCTACCCCAAGGTGACCAGGGGGACAGGAACCCCACTGCAGGGCTGCCCCAAGGTGACCAGGGGGACAGGAACCCCACTGCAGGGCTGCCCCAGGGTGGTGAGGGGGACAGGAACACCCTGGCAGGGCTACCCCAAGGTGACCAGGGGGCAGGAACCCCACTGCAGGGCTGCCCCAAGGTGACAGGAACCCCACTGCAGGGCTCCCCAAGGTGGTGAGGGGGACAGAAACCCCACTGCAGGACTGCCCCAAGGTGGTGAGAGGGTCAGGAACCCCACTGCAGGGCTGCCCTATGGTGATGAGTGGGACAGAAACTCCCCGGCAGGGCTGCCCCAGGTGAGGCACAAGACCAGGGAACGACCCCTTAACCCTGTTCCAGTGGAACTGGAATCACACGATGCAGCTGATGCCAGGTGGGGAGCAGCCCCACACCCTGTGCCCCCCCAGCTGGGGAGGAACCCCAGCTCCCACGGCTGCTCCAGCTCAGACCATCCAGGCTCAGGGGCAGGAGTCTGCTGCAGCCCACCAAGCCCCCCGTGGGGGCACCCAGGGCTGCTCCCACCCGGCCCCACAGCTCCCACGGAGGGACACAGCTGCGAGAGGCAGTCCCCAGCAGTGGCAGGGCCCAGGCCTTACCTCGTCGTCCCCCTTATAGGGCGTGGAGCCCTTGCCCCCCGCGATGCTGATGCCCAGCCCCCCCGTCTGCCGCACGATGGTCAGCGTCAGCTGCAAGCACAAGGGACAGGGCACGGGTCAGGGCACAGGGGACAGCTCTGCTCAGGAGAAACAGCACCTCTGAGTCACCCTCTGGCACTGGGGGGCCTGGCACCTGGGGGTTGTGGCACCTGTGGGACACACCATGGCACCTGTGGGACACACTGGGGGAGCTGGGACACCTGTGGGGGAGCTGTGGCACCTGTGGGACACTGGGGGGGATGTGATACATATGGGACACACTGGGGGGGTTGTGGCACCTGTGGGACACACTGGGCGACCTGTGGGACACACTGGGGGAGCTGGGACACCTGTGGGACACAGT